AGATCTCGGCTCACTGCAATCTCCGCCTCCTGGGTTCAAGCAATTCTCCTGCCTCAGCCTCCCGAGTAGCTGGGACTACAGGTGCATGCTATCATGCCTAGCTAATCTTTTTATATTTTTAGTAGAGACGGGGTTTCACCATGTTAGCCAGGATGGTCTTGATCTCCTGATCCTCCCACTTCGGCCTCCCACAGTGCTGGGATTACAGGCATGAGCCACGCACCCAGCCCCCCTTATTTATTTCTTATCGTTCTTTCCCTTCTCTGGTCTGCCCAGCTACCTCAGTCTTTACATTTACTGTGCCCTTGGCTTGGGACACTCTTACTCCAGAGGTCCCTGGCTCATGTCTTCACTTCTTCAGACCTCTGCATCACATCAAAAGGATTCCCTTTAGTCCCCATCTATTATTGCATCCCCCATTCTGAGCATTCCTTATATTTGATTATTAATTTTTCCCCAAGCCAGGCAAAAATTAATCTTAGCACTTCTTAAGAGCTCAAGGTGGGTAGGTCACTTGAACGTAGGAGTTCAAATCCAGCCTGAGCCCTAGAGGCAGAGACTGCAGTGAACTGAGATCACACCATGCATTCCAGCCTGGGTGACAGAGCGAGAATCTGTCTCAAAAAAGAAACTTCAAGGAAATAATTAATTTTTTCTTTTTTTGAGTGGCATCTCCCTTTTTTGCCCAGGCTGGAGTATAGTCGCATGATCTCAGCTCACTGCAACCTCCAACTTCCAGGTTCAAGCGATTCTCCTGCCTCAGCCTCCCAAGTAGCTGGGATTACAGGTGTGCCACCACACCCAGCTAACTTAATGTATTTTTAATAGAGACAGGTTTTCACCATGTTGGCCAGGCTGGTCTCAAATGCCTGACTTCAAATGATCCACTTGCTTTGGCCTTGCAAAGTGCTGGGATTACAGGCATGAGCCACCATGCCTGGCCATAAAAAATTTTCAAAAATAATTTTGTCCATAGTGCTTAACTCTCTCTCTCTCTCTACACACACACACACACACACACACACACACACACACACACACATACATTTCTGTCTCTCTTGACTAAAATGTAAGTTCCATGAGGGCTCCATGACTTTTGTTCACTGCTGAGTCCCCAGCACCTTGGATGGAACCTGGGCACAGACGAGGTACTCAATGCATATGAGTTAATATCAAAAATCTTGAACAACTGAAACAATGATATGGCATTGACAAATGAGGAAATACTGGGAAGGTGACTGGGAGGAGGGTTGGTGGGATGGAGGGGTGAGAGGATGAGTCATTTAGAGCCCATGGAATTTAAGGTTAGCTGTGTAAATGACCGTACAGCCTGGTCGTTGAAATGCTGGCCTGGTGCTCAGGAGCGGCCAGAGGTGAGGGTCTATTGGAGAATTATGTGTCAAAGGTTGGTGGAAGCTGTGGAGTCAGTGAATCTCTGGGGAGATCATGGAAAGAGAGAGAGGTGAGACCTGGGGATGGAGCCCTAGAAGTTCACAACCAACTTTTTTTTTTTTTTTTTTTTTCTGGGACTTTACTGGCTTAAAAACTAAAAGTCCAGGTCAGGTGTAGTGGCTCTCACCTGGAATCTCAGCACTTTGGGAGGCTGAGGTGGGTGGATCACCTGAACCCAGGAGTTTGAAATCAGCCTGGCCATCATGGTGAAACCCCATCTCTACTGAAAATACAAAAATTAGCCAGGCATGCTGGCAGGTGCCTGTAATCTCAGCTACTCAGGAGGCTGAGGCAGGAGAATTGCTTGAACCTGGGAGGTGGAGGTTGCAGTGAGCCAAGACCACGCCATTGCACTCCAGCCTGGCAACAGAGCAAGACTCCGTCTTAAAAGAGAGAGAGAGAGAGAAACACAAAAGAACTCAAAGGATCATCTCCAACTTCTTTTTAACTTGGCAGTACAGCGAGTCCTGAACCAGGTATGTGGAGCCTTGATAAAGAACCAATAAGACAAAAATTAGAAAATATCTTGTATATGTCAAATAATGCTGCAAATATAAGGTCCTGTCACTGAGTTTTGTTTGAAATAAAATAATCATCGTGGTGCAGAGTGGTGGCTCATGCCTGTAATTCCAGTACATTGGGAGGCCGAGGTGGGCAGATCACAAGGTCAAGAGATCAAGACCATCCTGGCCAACATGGTGAAACCCTGTGTCTACTAAAAATACAAAAATTAGCTGGGCGTGGTGGTGTGCACTTGTAGTCCCACTACTCAGGAGACTGAGACAGGAGAATCACTTGAACCCGGGAGGCAGAGGTTGCAGTGAGCTGAGATTGTGCCATTGCACTCCAGCCTGGGCGACAGAGCAAGACTCTGTCTCAAAAAACAAACAAACCAAAAACTATTAATATTTGATCAATAGAAAACATGGTCCTTGTCCTTAGAGAACTTTATGGCTTACCTGCTGCAGCTTATAAGAACTTAGCCATATTTACTCAGCAATATATAAGGGAATAGAAATAAATATTGTGTCAACTCCCTGACTCTCACCCCTTCCCAGCTCCCTAACCCACAACACATATATCCTCCTTTCTTTCTTTTTTTTGAAACAGGGTCTTACTCTGTCACTCAGCCAGGGTGTAGTGGCACGATCATAGGTCATTGTGGTCTCAACCTCCAGGGCTTCAGTGATCCTCCCACCTCAGCCTCCCAAGTAGCTGAGACCATAGGTGTATGCCACCACGCCCAGCTAACTTTTTTATTTTTTGTAGAGATAGGGGTCTCGCTATGTTGCCAGGTTGGTCTTGAACTCTTGGGCTCAAGCAGCCCTCCCACCTCAGCCTCTCAAAGTGCTAGGATTACAGGTGTGAGCCACCAAACCCAGCCATATCCACCTTTCTGGTGAGCATGGACAAAGATGCCCTAATTCATTCAGACCAGAAGGTGATGAGGAATGTTTCCAGTCACCTTTCTTTACTCACAGACCTGTTCTGGGAAGAAGGGGTCAAGAATGTGGCAAACCTGGGCTTTAATACATTGACTAGAATATTTATTCAATAAATATCTATAGGCCATCTATTTAAGGCCTAATGCTGCATTAGGCCCTGTAGCGATATAAAAGAAGGTCCCTGTCCTTAATCTCACCAGAGTGATGAAGATAAGGTCCTGAAAACAAGGTCTTATATTACTAAGTGCCAATGTTAACTATAAGGCACTAAGATTCTAGAAAAGGGATGCAGTTTCACTCCTGTGGCCCAGGATGGAGTATAATGGCAGTATAAAAGAATCCATGGCTCTTAAGAAGCTAAGAGGCTTAAATGGAGAAACCTCCACACTCTAGGACTGGAGTAGATAACCTAGCACTTTAGGCATTTAAGACTCTAAGTCTTTCTGGAACGTGAAGGCCCACGGTGCTGGGGAAAGGCATTTGCCACATCTCCTATCCTGATGGTTCTGTGAATTCATCAGGATAGGAGAGGTTATGCCTTGGTAACAATGAATCTCTTATCTCAGGGGTTTGATACAGTAAAGGATTCATTTCTCGTTTATGCTACATGCCCAATGTAGATAAGGATGGCGTGGAGGGGAGATTTGCTCCATGTAATCTCTCGGGGACACAGGCTGATGGAGTTTCCACCATCCTAGAATGTTGTCTTCTCATGTGACTTTCAGGATTGCTGCAGCAGGGGCAAACAAACAAACAAACAAACAAACAAAAAACTATAGGAAGTTTCTAAGTGCCAAGACTGAGGGTGGTTATCATTTCTACCAATAATCAATTGGCTAAAACCTAGCTATATGTGCAAGGAACAACACAATATATAATCGTCCTTTCTGCCCTGAAAGAGGAAAAATGAAATAGGATTTCATGAACACATATAATATAAATCATGACCGATTATCCAAAGAATCTTACTTTGTTAATAATAGCTAACACTTATGTTTTGCTAATCTTTGAAATCCACCTGTGAGGCAGCTTTTATTATCATTAGCTCTATTTTATTTTATTTTACTTAATTTTTTTGAGACAGAGTCTTGCTCTGTAGCCCGGGCTGTAATGCAGTGGTGTGGTCACAGCTCACTGTAGCCTGGAATTCCTTGGTTCAAGTGATCTTCTCACCTCAGCCTCTTGGTAGCTGGAATTACAGGCATGCTCCACCACACCTGGCTAATTTTTTTGTTTTGTAGAGATGAGGTCTCACTATGTTGCTCATGCTGGTCTTGAACTCCTGAGCATAAGTGACCCTCCTGCCTCAGCCTCCCAAAGTGTTGGGATTACAGGTGTGAACCACTGCACCTGGCCATCTCCATTTTAAAGATAGGAAAGTGAAGCAAAAAGAAATTAAATCATTTATTCAAGGTCCCTCAGCTAGTAAGTGGCACAACATAGAGTCACTCAAGAAGTTTTTCTCAAGAGTTCATACCATGCCCAGGCTGGAGTCCAGTGGTGAATCATAGCTCACTGCAGCCTCAATCTCCCCAGGCTCAGGTGATCCTCCTAACTCAGCCTCCTGAGTAGCTTGAATTACAGGCATGCACCACCATGCCCAGCTACAGAGTTCCTGTTCTTAACAACTATGTTCTACCTCCTTTGTTATAGGCTTAGTTAAAATGGAAGTCAAATCTTGATTCCGTGTACCCTGCACCTCTTACATCGGGGTATAAAAAACTTCTAGCAATGGTGTCATACTTGACTCTGACTAGTCCGCCCTGCCAATATTTCCATAGCCTCAGTTGTATAAATATACTCACCATGCTCTTCACCGGCCTGTCTTGAACACCATCTGTTCAAAGGGTTGTGGATGACAGCGCGATTGTAAGCTATGTGGATATATATCTACTGTATGGGTATATCTACTATATAGGTATATATATGGATATAGATGCTGTTTCTAAATGTAACACATTCTTGCATAGGCATCAGCAACTGTCAAGAGCATTGTGTCCTCTGTCCTTGGATGAGGCATTCTTGCTCCCCTGTTCTCAACTGCTCTCCAGCACAAGTTATTCTCATTCTTTGGAAAACAGAAGTGAACTATGTTTTTCTCCTACATCAGTGTAACGGAGAAGATTTTGTTCAGATGACTGGTGGGGGAGACATTGACAGCTGGCCCTGAGCAGGGCTGAGTAATGGAAATCCAAGTTATCTCAAGCCTCAGAATTATTCAAGTTTCCTTCTGCAACCTGTGTGTTCAAGGTCAGACTAGGCTGAAAACAACATGAGGTTACAATTTCAATAATGTCCAGTCTTTAAACCTAATGTGAATATGGATTTTGTTTATGTTGTTCATTATTATATAGTGAGTATCTAGA